AGCAGGAGATGTCTTACGGCAGCACCTCCCACCACAGCATGCATGAGGACAGGGGAGTTCTGCACTCACCTGGCATGCAGCCCCTCCATGGTCATGTTGTCAGCCTGTTTTTGATGTGCCAAGGAGTATCCTTTGCTCTGCAGAGATGTGTAGCTCTCCTGGCCCCACACTGGCACAGAGTCCAAGGGAGTTTTTCTTTCTGTCTGCCCTGCTTGACAGGTCTGATCTTCAGACCGACAGCTGCTCCCACCAATGGAGGCCTGCTGAATCATGGGCTTCATAATTCCTGGTCACAACAGAGTTCATAACATTACCACTAGGATCTCACAGCCAAGCAGAATTAACAATCTACAGCTAGCTTGATGCCTCTTCCTTCCAGGGCAGCAGGTGACTGCAGCCATGGAAACCTTTCTGGTAGAGGGGAGACTGTGCTTGGGAAATACACAGAGTGACACAGAAGGTGACACGGCTTTCAGAGCCCAGCCTGCACAGAACACTACACATCGTCACTGGCTTGGAAGCAATCAGGTGTGTGAAAATAAACACAAACTCAAGGGATTGATTTATACATCCGCATGTTTATATTCACACCTCTGAGGATCAGAGGCAGGAAGGTGCTAGGAGCACACAGCTCATGAACTACAGGATTTCTCCATCACATTTCTTGAAGAGGGTCTATTAAGACTTTGCATGATTAGAGTAACTCCCAAACTGATCCTTCTCCTCCAAGGTGAAAGATCTGCTTTTACACTCACTAAGGCTCCAAAGCTGTTAAGGAAAATCTCCCACTGCAGTGCAGAGGATGGCCAGGCAGGTGTCTTTCCTCTCAACCTCCTCTGTTCCCTCACCAGCCCTCACTGCAACTGACTCCTTCTCATCCCTAGAGAAGATCAATCACAGCCAGCCAGGATGCAAAGTCAGGACAGAGGTAAGAGGGGTGAAGCACAGAAATGAGGACAGCCCCCACCATCTCGACAGCTCAAATGCCCTCCCTCCTCCCTGGCCAGAAACCACAAGACTGACCAACCCTCGGGACATCGAGCACCCGAGCACTCACAGAAGCTCTAAGGCTGTAATGCACTCCTCGCATTCCACAACCTGGAAAACCAACTTCCAAAGTCTTAGGTCTGAAAAACAGTTGCAGTAACTTTCCAGACATGGACCAATTCAACAGCCACAATGAAGTCAAACAATGAAAACACCTTACCTGAAGGGTGAAGGGCTGAAGGGTAGAAATCTACAGGGGTGCGACTCTGGGCCATTCGAGGGTCCATATAAGAGGGCATCATCATCCAGCGAGGGTCAAAGCCAAGCATCTGGGGATGCGGTGGGTAGAATGTCCGTTGGGGATGGGTATGGGATGGGGGAGGATAGACTTGCTGCTGCTGCCAGTGCTGCATCTTGTACAGCTGCTCCTGCAGGGAAGAGGATGACCGAACGGTCACGGTGCCAGGAATCACATTTACCAATGGGCCAGCCGAAGGAAAACACATTCGATGTATTAAAGGCTCAAAACCAGATCAGATGGGAGGGTAGAGCAGATAAGGGCAATTCACTACCAACTGGGAATATGGCAGTTGTTGTTATTCTCTCTCCCAGAACAGCCAGAACATGTTGCAGACAGAATATCTTATCACTATGGGCCAGGCTACGTGGCCAAATGCAAGGGATCAGCTTCAAGACCAGAGTTTGCATTTTCTCAACGTGTGAGATACAGGACAGCTTCCTGTTAAACACAATTTCCTAATTGGAACCAAACACTTTAGAAGATGTTGCTCTTTGAAGGAAATGCAATTATAACTTATTTAGTGTGCACATATATTAGTTCTAGTCATGTTAGCCAAACAGATTAGATAAGAACATCGTAAACTCAATTAAGAGAGATATTAATATTTCATAGTATTTGCTGTGTATCCTCCAGAGAGGGGCTGACACTGACACCTTTGTGTTGTTTCCCATCTCCCACACAGCCAGTCCACCTTCTTTTAGCTCAGAACTGACATGATGGTAATCTGATTTGACATTTAACTTTTCCTAAAGGTCCAAGAACCACCTACATTTGAAGGGAGCTTTGTGTACTGAAGAAAACTTTCAAAAAGGTAAACAGCTCCAATTAACCTGAAATACATCTACTTACCTGTCAAACTTCCTACCATCTTTTCCTACTGATCTTACCAGTGTGTCAGATACTGTAACTGTTTATAAAAAAAAGCCAATCCCCTGCAGCACAGCACGAGAGACACCCTTAAATCTGAACCTGACACATCATTACAGCAAGAGAGAAACTCAGATAAATGCAAAGATTATATCTGAGTTATCTAGTGCTCCAGTACCTTGGAGAAAATATTTCACTAATGATACCAACACTATTTTTTTCTTCTGTTCTTTTTTCATGGAGCCACAGCAGCAATACAAGCCAGACAAAATACAAACTGCCTCATACATACTAACGACACAGAGGATAAGAGAAAATAAAATTAAAATTTCATGTTCTTCCACTAGCAATGACCTGTGGTATTATTAGCATGACAGCAAAGACATCCAATTCTTTTTAGTTTAAGAGCATCTCTTTTAAAGAGTAACATTAGCAGCGTTTGCTGCAGTACATTTGAATCATGAAAATGTCAACTGCCCAGTAACAAGCACAGGGGAACATCCATAAAAGAGCAATTACCGAGCTTCCAAGCAAAAGCCAAATGTGAGCTCTTCACAAAGGTTTGCAGCAGTGTTCATTATATCACATTTCAAGTGGTTATTCTATGAAGAATGGCAATTAACTCTGCATAATCTCAAGCCTGAATATTCTGTCCCTCGGTTCGAATCTACTGCCCTAAGGAGGCTCACTGCACCTGCAAGAGCTGAACAGAACTGCAAGACCGGGCAAGATGCAAGACACATAGAGCAGTTCAGGCTGCGCTCTCAGAGCCCCAGAAGAGAGTTTTCAACGAAACAAAAATGAGACAGTTAAGACCAAACATATTTATGGTGCAAAGAAAGTAATGCTTTGAAAGAGCCTCACAGAAAAAAAAGTCGGGTAGGCAGAAGATGAGAGCAGAGGTAAAGGACCACCTCTCTGCAAAGGCAGGAGGTGGAATGAGAAGTGTGCTGCTTCACAACCTGCTTTCAGTTCAGAAGCAGAATCCAGTGACGTGCCAACCTAAGCACACTTTGCCCCCGGCAAGAAAATTGCTGCCTGTACCTAACAGGGTAAGGGCACTGCAAGAGCAAAGTGAAACGGAACCAGCTGATCCCCAAAGGTTTTCCTGTCCCTCGGCCTGTAGATTCAGCTCCCTGTCACTGCAGCAGTGCTGGAGAACAGCAGCTCTCATCTTGTGCCAGGAAATAAGAACAGATGTTCCCAGGTTCACTGCCAGCCACAGGCATTAGACACTTCACTGGACCAGGCGTACACCAAGTACCAACGCAGCCACGGCTGCTCTCTTGACTTTGGACATGGGAAGGGGAACATCCCCAGCTTCTCCTGCGTACACACATTTACAAACCAGAGCTCTGCTACAAACCACATAGTCCTAAGATTTCACACTGTCAGGAGACACACAGACAACCATGCAAGACAAGTCAACATTTTTGTCAGCAGTGTCTGTTTTGCTCCCAGGCAGTGACAAACCTGGCCTGCCCACGCCTCTCCCCAGCCACAGCAAGCCCCAACTGCAACAGCTCCAGCATCACAGGGTGCACGTAGAATTCATGTAACCTATATAGAGCCCTTTTACCCGTCAGACAGGACATACCTGATCAAAAGTACTAAAAAAGGCCAGGGTAAAACTCCCATTTACCACAAAGACAGTTGGTTAGTTGGTTGTGTGACTGTTGAGAACCAAGCAAACACAACGGTTTGGCAGGGGTCCAAAGGAAGAGGGGTGGGAGTGTCACACCTATTACCTGCTGCTGTTGCTGCTGCTGTCTCTGGAATCGCGGGGGAAGAGACTTCTGGTATTTGTTGAATTCCTGTGCTGGGGAGGGAGCTTCTCTGAGCTCCTCCTCACTGCTGCTTTGGGCTCCTGCTGCTGGGGCAGGAGCCTCCTCTTCCAGATAGCCAACAGAGGCATCCTGTGTCTGAAACTCAGGGGTTGCTGCAGAGAAGAAAATAAGCTTGAAGAGCCCTGCTCGTGACAGGGCTTGTGATTGTACCACCACACAACATACATGGGTATGGGCATGTCCTGACCACCTTAAGTGGTTGAACTTTATTACAATCATATACAGAATGTCACACATACACAAATCTCTCTGATTTGCCTTGGCGGCTCTAGAGGGCTTTGTCCATCCTGTTTTAGTAAGAAATGTCAGGAACCCCCTCTGCCATCAGCCTTCTGTTTAAGCACTGGGGTTTCCCCCATTACTCCTTAAACACTGCCAGCACTTACTGATAACCAAATTTTCTGATCTGTGACCCAGGAGCACCTTCTTAGTATCACCATCCAATCATGAGAAGATCAAGAGGCCTGTTCAACAAGGTCTCTGCTAGCACAGCTGACTGAGCATAGATCAAGGCAACAAAAGTTTGCACTTGTTTTAACAGGGTTGTTTTTTTTTAAATGAACCATCATCACCAATCCAAAATACTCAGCAGAATACATGAAGCAGCTGATCTCTCAAGTGCAGCTGAAGTACCTTCTGAATGCTCCCCCCCAAGAACTCCGCCACACTTCAGGTAAGGTATTGGCACAATACCAAAAAAGCAGTCTTTAGAAGGTGAGGAAAGCAATGTTTCTTTACCTCTACGGAAAGCATGACCATTCTCTTGCACCGCATTTTTCTCTGTGCTTGGGGGTCGCAGGTCTTCATTCTCTGTGTGTTTCTGAGTCTCCCCACTCTTCTGAGCCAGTTTGCATTTCTGATCAAGTTGCTTCAGCTTTGCAGCGCAGGCTGCCAGACGCTCCTCCCTGGCTCGGCGCTCCTCCTCCTCCCGTCGCTTCCTGGCTCTCTCGACAGCCTCCGAGATCTCAGAGTGCACAAACTTTTGTCTCAGTGGCACCTTTTCTTCTTTATCCTCAAGGGACTGCTGTCTGAGAACACTTCCCCCTGTGGGCTTCTGCCAAAGGAAAAATATTCCTCAATAAGCATGACCCAAACATCTTGACCTTTGCGTCCCACACTGAGAAAATTCCCTCCTGACTCCCTCCCCTCTATCCTCATGCACACAAATCCTGCCTTTGGTGTAGAGTTATTGCTATTTGGTTGATTATCTCCATTTTCTCACTGTCTGACAACCCCACAGCTCTGGACCAGCTTCAATTTCTTTTTGCTAGTGGGAGTACTATGCAGATAGATTTCTCCCCCAGCTGGATATAAACAAAGAATTGAAAAATTCATCATCATCATCATCCTGTTTTCAATAAAGCATCAAGCTGGCCTCTTCAGGACAGTGATGCGTCCCATCCAGCAGCACAAGCCCACTCACATGAGTTCAGCCCACCTGGTGTTCAGATGCAGAGCTCCAGCCATTCAGCTTCCTCGGAGGCTGCTGTGATTCCTGGACTTTCCGGACTGACCGGGATAAGCCAGCTGAGTCTCCCCAATTCTTTCCTTCCTCCAAGGTGTGTTTGACATCTGCACTGTCTGCAGAGCTCAGGGACAACTGTCGCTGCCTTCTGGGATCCCAGCTGTTCCTGTAATAAAAACAGCTTTGCTATTACATTTGCTACATGCCTCAAAAAGCACTTGCAGTCTTATCAAGTGGCAAAGGTAACTGACTGTAACAGAAAGGAAAGATCCAAAATAAAATAATATAAAAATAACCACACCAGAACAAGCAATGGGCTTTTCCTCCTGAGATGCTTATGAATTAACACTACTGTTGTGCAGCAGGATAAAGGTGAGACACACAAAGGGGGCATCCTGGCACTCAACTTCAAGACCCATTCAAACGATGGCCAGTGGAATCAACAAAGTTACACTATGAGTCCAAGGGATTGAGCCTCAACATTTACAAAAAGTTTTTAGAAGATCCTGGTATTGTTTAGTTTTATTGAAACAGGTGTGAACACAGTCACTTCTTACCACTTCTGTCGTCCATCTTTAAGAGTTTCTTCCTCTTCCTCATCTTCACTAAACTTTAGCTTCTCGGAGTAATCCACTTCATCGTGAATTCCTATGAAGGCAGGATTGGAAAAGGGATACATGAGAGGAAAGAAATGTGTCCCTTGTCCTGATAAAGCTCATGCCCTCTCTGGCACTAAACCAGAAAACCCACAGGCTTGGCATGATCTATTTGGAAAGCCAAATGTCCACCACAGGTATGGAAGTGACATGAGTAGTGTGGACCCACATTGCTAAACAGCTAGCTGGTCCCAGAAGAGGAGCACCAAGCAGTCTGGGAACAGGGGCGGCACATGAGGAGGCAGCCACCAAGCTAGACTGCATGTAATTAGATATTGAACACCATGACCAAAAAGGTAGGACTAACTCTTCCTCCCAGCAGCCATACTGCTATCCTCCTGCTGTTTGGTGTTTTCAGCATTTAAGGAGTCTTCAGATCCTGTTCCTTGAGCACAGTGTGATGGAAGGATCGGAAGGATCCATTGTGTCATCATTTACACCAACAGCAATTTCACAACTACAGACTAGTCTTTGCATCCCCTGTGTCCTTCTGTGGCAGTGAAACAGAGCCACCAAAATATCCCAGCTATTGCACATTTCAGGGAGGAGTGACTACTTGCTTCATGTCCTAAACTGCTTCCTGAAGCTAGAGAATGAAAGCACTTTACCTGCCCATCCATCGTCTGCATCTGTGTCTAGTTCATCCAGCCCCTTTAGGTTCTCTGCATTGATAATGGTGGGCCGAGGTACTCTCTCCACTTGCCGAACTGGACGCGTTGGGCGAGACAGGCTGAGTCTGTTCTCTTTTCTACAGGGAAATGCAAAGAAAGGGTTAGAAACAATAAAGAAAAGCACGTAGAGCTGAGTTTGTAACAGTAAATCAGTCCTTTTCTACCACACGCTTACATACAAGGGCTCCAAGTTTCTCTCCCTGTCCAGCAGAATTTCTTTCCCTTGTCTACCTGGCAGCCACTTCCTATGGCTTACAGATCAGAGCTGCGAGCCTCCTAGTCCAGGGTCACCACAGCTACTTCTTATGCTCTTGAAACACATAGTGCTTACAGTCCTGCAGCATTTCAGATGCTGCTGTAGCTGGAGCAAAGCACTGCTTCTTTGGGTAAAAATCAGGTTTCCTCTGCTGCTGCCTGCAGCTTCACCCACGCAACTGGATCCTTGGCCCAAATTCTCGCATAGTTTAAGGTTCATGTCACACCCTGAACTCGCCTCTCAAGTGGGACAGTCATGGTAGCCTTACCCATCCTGGTCATTCATCTGGTATTGTCTGAAAGATACCCGGGGCTCAAGCCGAAGCTGAGGAAGGGGGAAAGACCCTCTGTCCAGCGGTGCAGAGGCCTCAGATGGCTGTTGTGGACACATCTGGAACAAGGCAAACCAGAATAGTCTGTTTTTTCTCCTTGACAGAGGAAGGGTTACCCAGATTAGGTTACAACACAAGCATGCTAGTTGCATCCCTGCAAAGGGAAAACAAACATTTCATGTCTGGCTGCCTAACAGGCCATGTGCTCATGGTTACCCTCTCCAGCAACAGAGGGAAAGCAGCAACTTTGCCTTGCGCTGAGCAAGACTGTGCTACACTATTCTAGCACAAAAGGGGAAACTAAAAATAGATCAAGAGAAGGATCCCTGAGCAAGCCCTGGGAACCAGCTGAGAGTCCACAAAATATATCTCAGCTGACTTCTTCAACCCACACACACATTAGAAGCAGCAAGGACATTACACAGCTGTGGGAAAAGGGCGACTTACAAAAGCAGGTAGCATGTCATGGTATGTAGGTGGTTGATAGACATTTCCCATGAACTGCGAAGCCCCTTTGCGGACAGGCTGAGCTGGGCGGAGAGACGGCTCCTTCGGATCGCTGGCACTCGCTGAGGAGGGGGCTCCGTCTCCAGTGCTAGAGGTCTTGCTGCCCAGCTCAGCAGGGGAGGCGGTCAGAGATGTGGCTGAGGTTATGTTCCTCCCACCGCCCTCCCTCCAACTGGTGACATCTGGAAAGGAGGCAAAAATTATGTTAACATTTGTACATGCAGACAGTCACTCTGCCAAAAACTGAAACTCAAATACTCTGGTCAAGCCCTAATTATACCAAGCATGTAGAAAAACATCAGGGACCAAGGAAAATTTCCAAATGCGTTTATTTTCCTAAGAGACTAGCAGCATCGGTCATTATTAAGTAATTGCCACACCAGCGGTGTCCTTATTTGTCAATAAGCCTAAAATCCAACCAACTCTACTCCCCACCTCCACAGTCCTTATCCCGCAGAATTAAGGCAAATCAGATCACGTGCAAACACTCAAAGAAAAGCCATGTTAAACCACCCACTCATTTCACTTGGACAGGTTTTTTCCCCCTTAGCCCAGGGGGAAGAGCCTTGCTTTGCAGCATCACAAAGCAATTTTTATGAAACAATGTAGATGATGACAACCCATACTTGGCTGTGTGGACCACAGAACTCAGGCAGTGAACATCAGCACTACATGTGAATCCTTGGCTGCTAAGCAGCTTAACACACGCGAGCTTGTAAAAAGATAAAAGAAAATGTAGGGATGGAATATTTGATACTACTGTGAACTGGTATTCCCTGCCCAAAACATCGTCTATGGGGTTATAAGCTGGGATAAGGCAGAAAGACATAATCATTCACTCACTCTGGGGGCGGAGGCTTGGTCCTGGCCCATACGACGGATCTAAGGCGCCCTTTTCTTTGCCAACCTTGTCCTGCTCGCCAGCTGCTTTCAGCGTCGGAAATTCCTCGGGAGAGAAGGATAACAGTCGGCTTGAGGCCCTTGAACCTGTCGGAAAAATAAGTGTGGGACTCAGACCTTTCCACTCTTTCACTTCCCTTACAAGATCAGCCTGCAAATGCACTTCCTGAGAATTTGGGCCTCCAGCATATTTAAACCCAAATTACTATTGTACCAGTGCCTCAGCTCACATCCAGAAGACTCTCAGACACTGTCACCAACACAACAACACATCTTCACCCAGGTCTCCCACACTCTTGTGATCTCCATTTGAATTCTCATGTTGATCAAAGTCAGAGTGAACTTTCTCAGCTGCCTATTATTTTTGTAAAGTACAAAATTCAGACTGAAGGAGAGATACAAATTCTGCAAGATCACCTATAGATGATACCCTGCTATCAAGTATCTGACATTTCTATTCAGACTCTTTCTGCTCAGATCTCACTCTACTGGGGAAGTCTACTGTTAAGATTTCTGGAAATATACTCAGTGAAAGACCACATATAAGGATCGAGCGCTATACGCTCGATCTCTCCTCGTACTGCAGCATTTTTAAGATGCAGATCACTGACAAGACCAGGCAAGGTTTATTTCTAGTCATTGTCAAATTGTCTTGCCGAGTCATCAGCCACCCTGGAATGGCAACTTTCTGTCCATTCTAAAGATCTGCCAGTGACTGCAAAACAAAACACAGCAATTCTCCTAAATCTGTTGGCAAGATAACACGGAATAAAAGGAAATTGTCAGCATTACTGAACTACTAAACATCTAAAAAATTGCTTTTTGAGACCTGTTTCTTGGTGTTACTTGGCTAATGCTCTTTTTTAAAAGGGCATTTCAGAATTACCACGTTTGAAGTTATCAGCAATGAGTACTGAAGACCTAACAAAAGTCTCATCTATCTTTACCCTTCTTTTTTTTCTCAGAAGCATTGGCTTCTTTAAGTCATTTTCACTTTCTAGAACTTGCACACCGCATAAGACCTCCCACCTGAAGATTTCCAGGGAAGACACTGCAACTACTGCATGCAACATCTGCACATACTTGGACAGATGAGAATACACAGGAAGGACATTTCTCAAATAGAACACAAAATATCTGAGATGTGCTGAGAGTTCAGATTCTTACTGCATTATTCTACTGAACTAGAACGGCAAGGAGAATATTAACAACATGTGTCTTTCAGGGGAGACTCCCACCCCCCAGGTAAGGCTGCACAATATAATGACTGTAAATGCCTAGGCATTAACAATTTGCACTGTAACCCTAGGCAGCATCGCACTGAAAAGTCTGGTGCATCTTTTTTTTCTCCAAATGCCCCTTACAAAGAAGACACAGGCATGGAGAGGTTCATAATTAATTTGCTGCACCACATTTCTTCAGGATATGCCCTCCAAAAGAGAACTTACAGCAGTAATACCTAAAAGAGAGCAAAAAGCAAAAGACTTTTCCTCGTTGTCAATAATATTAGAAACAGCTGTATTAGCTGAGACAGAAAAGCAATTGTTGAATGCCACTGGAGAAGAGGTGCAAGGATGGGATGGCCTAAGAAGTCCTTTTAGCCAGACTTCCGAAGCTTCTGTGATTCAATTACCTTCTAATTAAGCTGCTCTTAGTCACATATGCAACTCTTTTCTTGGGTTGAGAACTCTACAATGATAAATGTGACCTAGAATGAGTTTTCAAAAAAACCTTTAAGAACATTGTTAGATGATCAGATTTCAGAATGACTGTATAGGAGGTCCACATTGCAACAGGCTCAAAAAAGTACCAGTTAACCAAACAAGACACTGTCTTTGCACTGGCCACCAACCTCAGGAAAGCACAAGTGTCTGCTTTAACATTTAGCTTTTGCGAAACAGAAGCTCTCTCATTAAGGGACTCATTTAATTTTAGGATGAGCCTGCCCCCTCTATTTCTGCAATCTACAGCTGTCTCAATTCCTTCAAATCTCTGCAATTTCATTCAACAACTGAATGGTTCCAGGTCTGTTCAGATTAAAACTGTGGAACTGAGCTGTTACTCTCACAACAGTTTTAATGGTAGCACTCATTGCAGCTGGAAGCCACCTCCTGGGTGGAAAGGGATGCATCTGAAGACAACTAAACTCTCAATTTATGCTAATGCTGCTTTAGGATCCTCAGTCAAGCAGAAGCCATTAGCAGCACAGTTTCTCAGGGAGACTTAACAGAAAGGCCTCAGCCAAGTTGTAAGCAAGTGCATCCTGCAACAGCTTCAACGTCACTTCCACCCACTGACACCGTAAAACCCTCAGACCAAGGATGCTGTGTGCAGCCTCCCCAAATATTGTCATTACAGCCTGACTTTTAACCGCCTAATCAGGTGAAGCTCCCCATGCTACTAGCCATGGAGATGCCCACATTTCCAGCCTCTGATGTCCTCTCTTCTCCTTTCTACTTTTCTTCTAAACCAAGCCCTCCCCTCTTCCGCTCTGTTTTCTGCACCTTGATTACACACTGCTCTGGGCTGATGGAAGATGATCATGAGGGGGCAAGTGTTTCGATTCTTCAAAACCTTCACCTCCCAGAACTCCCTGTTGTTTCCCAAATGCACGAATCATTCTGGTTCAAGGTGGTGATGAGACACATTCTGGTCAAGCTATGTCTTGCACCGGCAGACCTGAACAGATGCAGCTGTATCATTCCAGACAACACACTACACAAGACTGAAAACAAGACACATGGCCTCGCAACACTGTAATGAAGACAGCTGTGTCCCATTCCACACCAGTCTAGACAGGGACGGCAAAAAAAAACGGAGTCCACCCCATCTCATGCTTGTCTGGGAGAAGCAGTCGCATACCCGGCTCCATTTCGGTTTATCATACTCACCACCTTCTTGTCCTGCTGGCTTTCCATTCAGCTGTGCCCATGACTTTGGTCCACCTGGCACTGAATTTGTACTCTGAAAACAAAACAAAACACAAACAAAACCCCAATGCCCACAGATTAGCGAAGTCTCATGACTGTTTCACATTTCCTGTCTGGCACCTGCTATGGTTCAGACCTCTAGATCACCTAGATACTACTGGATGGATACCAGTCATCCCAGCTTCTTGTTGGGGCTGAAGTTAGCTGTTCCCCACTCCAGTGTACTACGATGCTACAGCAAAAATGCTCTTCTTTGCCCTGCCTCTCTCTTCTCCTCTTCAGAGCATAACTCTTGTCCTCATTTCCCTGAACCTCAAGGGCTGGCATTTTTTTTTTAAACTGAAAGTGTGAAATCTACAGCACAGCAGGGTCAGATCCCTGCACTCTCTGGGGAAGCTTTCTTACTCGCCAGTAGCTTTTTTACATCCTGACACTGGCTACTTCTCACACATGACCAGATGTCTTCTTATCAAGTGTCATCAGGCTGGGAGCAAGAGCTGGATCTGTTGTCACCAAGCAACACTTGAATTAGACCCAAAGTAAAATAGTTTACAAGTTCTAACCAGCCGTCCCACATTCCAGCCATTCTTTCTAGACTGAAGCTAGACTTTCTGCACTCACTTGAAAGGTACAGAGGTAACATGCACATAATTATTCTCTAACTGCAGCACAGCAATCCTGAGGCACAGTAAGTTGGAGTCAAGACAGTCAATGCTACAAGAATTGATTATACAGGAGCTGTTCTGTAAAATGCAGTCTGCCAATTCTTACTTGCACAAGGCAACCCAGACAATTAAAGAAAACCCTTAAACCATCTGGCTAGAAGGGAAGCAGGGGTCACAGAGACTGCTTGTGCCTACCTCCTGACTGATTGACTGTGTCGGCTTCTGTAAATTGGAGACAGATTTCTGCAAACCCTACTGCGGCAGCGACTCCTGCAGCTGTGCAGCCGTCGCACTGGAACTGAAAAGAGACAGCCGAGATGAGATCAAAGGGGAATGGAGGCAAGATGACAGACGAACAACTCTGGTAATACAGCAGTTGCTAAAAGATCAAGCTAGCATTGGCTCTACGCTGGCATGGACAACAGAGAACTGAGCACTGTAAGGTCCAACACACAGCACAGCAGTGCACAACTGCTGCTGCTTGCCTGACAAAACTTAGCAAAGAGTATTTCTACCTACCTCTTTTGGTCTGGCTGATCCTGCTTGTTTGCCCATCCTGTACCGTCCTTGGGTACTATAATGATGTTGGGGTCGTTTCCTTTGTTCTCAGACTTCAAGCTAGGCAAGTTTGCAGGAGGTGGCATACGCCGGGCAGCAGCAACTTTCCCAAGACTCTGTAAGCCATGTCTAGGAATAACTAGTGAGAAAGGAACAACGGCAGGTCATAGAAGGCTACATCCTGTGAGATAAGTAACCTTAACTAGCATACTGCGTCTGGGTGCAGTCCCAACAGAGCTGTAGACAAGCAGCACCACTGCTGCTATGTCAACATACAGGTCATTTCCCACAGGACCACGGCGAAGCAGCCGTCTGCTGTAGCAGCTGGCTAAGAGGCAGCCTCCTACAACAGTCAGGAGGGAGAGAGAAAGAATTCTCCTTTACAGAAAATGCCCATAGAATCTTTTAGCTATCTCTGCAGACACTCCTCTTTCATTTCACCAAGGCAAAGCAGCATCACCCTTCCACAGCTTGGGGAAACGGCCATCCAAGTCCACTTCTTAGCAGGTAGACGGGTAATCTAAACTGGGAGTCCTGACATCTTGATTTTCCAGCTCTAACCACCAGATCACGTTTATAAAGATGGTATTTTTTTTTTTTTGTTTTGTTTTCTACCCCCTCACCAAATCCAGAGCTAGTCCAGGCAATGCTTCCATTTTTCTGACCTTACCACCTACTTTTGGTCACATCCCCACTGCAAAACTAACTCAGGTTCCTCCCCAGAAGCCTCCAGTCCTCAACTCTCACCTCACACGAGGTCTGACCAACTTAAAGCACTTCAGTCAGCTTAAACACCCTGTCTTGATATATAGCCTAAGGCCCCTGTAAGGCTTTCACTCAAGTTTGCAACCTGACCACTTTGCTGCAAGGACACAGGCTAAACAAAAGGACCAAGAGTCCCCCAGCTGTTTTGCCATAATTCCTCCATGTCTCTACAATAACAGCAGCACAAAGAACCGCAGACATTTTCCTTGAAGTCTTAATGAAACACAGGCTTAGACACCAGCACAAACAGCTCTGCAACCCAGCCGCTTCCCACTGCGCATCCTACCCACAGGGCCAACAGCCTGAATTAGCTCTGCAACAACACTCTTGGAAGACAGCAAACGGAGCTTTCTGAAGGCGTTTCTTACCTGTAGTTCTGATAGCTTCTATTGACTTTCCTTTATACTTATCAAACAGGCTGAGAGTCGAGTACTTGCTTTTCCCATCCTTTCCCTTGGTTATTTGCCCCAAACGATCGGACATTGCGATGAAATGTCATCTAGTAAGGAAATTTCTCTGCGCCGCTCCCGATCTGCCTTTTAATGAAAGAGAACCAGGGTTATTTATCCACAGACAAGTAAACAGTAAAATACACACAACTGCTAGAACTGTAGATACTCAGTGAGCAGACACACTATGTCACAAGGTTTTAAACCCCTCCTCTTTAGTCACAAGAAGCTTGTAGGATTTAAGATTCATAAACTGAATGAAAAGAACTGCAGGAACACACTTCTCACTGCATCATTTTTTTTCCCTGCCACTCCAGTGCTGAAAGAGGCAAGCTTCTTCAAGTACGGGAATACGAGAGAGGGTAGCCACCACAGTCCTTGCTTTGAAAGAATAAGTCTACCAATAAGCAGCTATGCACAAGGATTCCTAAACAGAAGTGACAGAAAAGCACTGTACCTTATACCACACTGGAATTTGTCTTTGGGTTTCCTACTGAAGCACTTGTAGCCACGTTTGTAATGTTTACAATTATGGTTCCACACTGGCCACAGTTAATGACTCATACCAGCAATTAATGCATTGAAAGCATCACCTGAAGGCAACAGAGTTATTTCTTCAAATTCCTTTTTCCCATCTGCTGACCATGAGAGTCCAAAAAACCTGCCCAAATGAAACAGGTTCAGACTTTGATTTTGAACTCAGCAGTTCTACTATGAATCTTGAAAACACTTTATTTAAAAAACTACATTTTCTCTGTTGCTGGCACTTTCAACACCATTTTTTAGCTATAAATATACTTTTCACAATGGATGTGGTACGTTGATTTTTCACTCTGATATCTGCTGGCACAACATGCTTTGATTAACACCCTTCATGCAGGCAGTCTCTTTGCTTTCACTTTTTTGTTCTCGGAGCCTAGGACAAAGCTGAAACGTTGGGAACACACACACTGTAAGTCAACTTTTATGTCAGAAAAGAAACTTTGCTTACTTTCAATGGACCTTTCATTTTTTCAAGCATAATTCTCTGTTATAAATTTTCTCAAGTCTAGGAGCATAATCTAACCTTTTCACACATAATTTAGATTTCCAGATTTCTTGTTGTAAAGCTTCCACTTAAAGCCTGAAACTGCTGGCAGTTCTATTATACCATCTGCTAGGTCCCATCTTAGGGTTGCAACTGTGTGTTGGAGTAACAAAACACTTCATATGTATCAGCCCTTCCCACCTTTTACCCTTTCTGAAATACATCCAGCTGAAAGCATGTTTCAAATCCAGCCAGAAATCACTCTTTCTGAAAGAAACTGTATCTGACCAGAGGCGACAACTTCCACCAGCAATGCCTTATCGAATACGATTTCCAGGTAAAATGACCAGTCCATCGTGCCTTTTGTACAAAATAAAGCACAGGCCACAAACATGCTGGATACAGCCAGTTTGAGAATGTACTGAGATTTACAACTAGCTGAGTAAAGCCCATCTAAAGGCTGCTGCCAGGGGACAGGTTTCTGACCAATAAACCTGGCACCACGCAGCATTTGTTCTTGCATTGCAGGATTTAAATCGGGCCTGGCAGGAAGGAGCAAGAACTTGTGCACTCTGTGTACTATGCAGCAAGCAGCGTGGTCAGGGATAGAGGAAGAAAAGCATTTTCGGTCACTCAGTAACAGCATCCACAGGATGGATGCTCAGGAAAACCACCAGGCTCCAGAAGAAGCCCCACACACCACCTCCGCTGGCCCAGCACACAAGCTTGCAGAAGCTGTCCAGCATTCTCAAGGCACTTTTTCCTGCAGGGCAGCAAACAGATCTTTGGCTCCAGTCTGGTTCAATCTTTGCTCAGATGGTCACCATGTGCCAAAGAAAACAATAGCTCCTCCCTCACTTGCCCATTTCCACTGTATTTTATTAGTAGGACAGACATAAAAGAGAAAGGGAGAAAAAACACTGATTAGCACAGACTTGGCAGGAAAGTAGAAGCTGGACCAAGAACAATGACCCATTTGAACTGGCAGAGTCGTGGGGAGCCCTGGACCAGAGCAAATAACAGAGGGTGCTGCACACCGGCCCTCAGTTGCCCTGGTAAGAGCAGAGCCACCTGCTTTTACAGGTACATGAACCTTGCAGAGGGAGCCTGGCTCAGGGTCTATCCAGACCACATTAATCCTGCACCAACCTCACACAACCCCAAGCAACCAAATTCACTTTGAGGTTTAGAAAACTCAAACCAGACAAAACGAGTAGGCATTAGAAAGAAAGGAGAGGGGGAAAAAAAAAACCAAAACTAACTACTGCATAGGTTCAGGAGTTAGCTGGTTAACAGAAAATCCCCAAGTTCCTGAAAGCAAGCATGCAAACAGCACACAAGGTAAGGGTGCCAAAGAGAAACCCTGACAACCAATTCTGTAACTGGGTCTCAGATGCCTCTTGATTACATCTTACATCATTAAAACGTGACAACCAATTCTGTAACTGGGTCTCAGCTGCCTCTTGATTACACCTTACATCATTAAAAGGATGCAGGAGGAATAAACAACCGCTTCAGAGCAGAGGAGCCAGGGACATGTCAGGATAAAGCCCCTTGTCAAACCTTCTGGGACAGCCACAACTGCTGTCTGGGTAAGGGAAATTCATGTGTACTTTGAACTCTTTTGAAGCTTTGAAGCTGAAAATGTGAAACACATCTTTGTTTGTGCATTACGCATCACTGTGTGCTCCAAAGGGGAAAACGAGTCCATGGCGAGGTGAGGCAATTTCCATACGGTCACTGTGCAAAGACGCTGCAGAGGCACCAAGCCCCCTCGGAGCCCTCCTGCAGGCAGGACCTTGCTGCCTGTCCCTCCTGACAGCAGCCAGCTGCAGATCTGAGCTAGTCCATGGGTGTCACCCATGGCACTTCAGAGAGGCCACAGAGCGTCCCAAGGTTGTCACGACACTGGACTATTTTCCCAACAAACAGCCAAGCAGGGAATCCAGGCATGGATCAAAGGCCTTCCAGTCTTGCAGAGTGAAACCATTTCTGATAAAAATCAAGTTCATTAAGAACTGAACTGCCAGCCTGCATGCTTATGGGGAGCTAGAACCACAAGGCACATGCCGATGTCGACAACTGAAAACTGACAATCTCCACAAAGCCTCTGACCTGTGCTCAGGGTCCCCGTGTCCAATAGCTGACCCTGAAGAAAGCATTATCCCCTACTACAGGGAAATAAAACAAAATTAAAAAAAAAAAATCAATCACCAGCACCGTTTCCCTCTAGGTTTATAGAGGTCTTTGGGGGAAGGCTCACTATCAGTTTTAGCATGGAGCTTAGCTCTTTCCGTTCTGAGGACTATGCAAGGATGGCAGCAGAGTGCAAAATGCTGAGTGTCTCAGAGGAATCAGAAAATACTGCAGTACGACCGGTTACGTTAGAGGCCCTAGGGCACAAATAACTGCACCAGAACAACTTCCTGTGCAGAGTGCTTTGCTAGTCAGGAGTCTTCATGTCCACATCGTGTTGCCCTGGATTTCATATGTGGGTACTGACCCTGTCTAACTGCCTTTTAAAGGGCTGCGTTCAAACCCAGAGAGAGCAACAGTGACATTTTAAGTGCCAGAGCATGAAAGTCTTGGAGCTACGGCAGGGATCTCCTGAGCATGAGGAGCCTGTCCTGCAAAAAGAGCCATGTGAAAACCTTGACTTACTGGCACTGGTAACAACTAGAAACCCCTGAGCTGAAAACACAGCTAAAGGGAGAGATTCCTGACAAACAGGGCTGTCTGCGAAGCTCTCTGTAAATCTATGTACGAAGGAGGCTGGGCTGCTGGTGTTTTATTCACAAGACTTCAATGGAGCCTGAATACCTGGAAGTTAGCCAGCCCTAATTGAGCAGGGCAAACAGATTTATGAAAGGTAACACACACACACAGACATGAAGAAATCACTTCAGCTACTCCCACACCAGTGAGCTCTACACTGAACACAATCACTCCAGCAAAGGACTCAAGACCACTGCAGACCTTCACTCCTTGCCCACTTCACAGCAGCAGTCACAAACAAAAAGCAAAGCAACAGGATGGAGATTAGCAGTGAAAAGGCTTCTCTCCAGAAGCAGGAAGATTTTTTTTTTTTAACCTTAAATTTTATACGATTTGTTCAGAAACTCACAGGTCGCAAAAGCAAAAGAGTAGAGAAGTATTTGGAGTTGATGTTAAACCGAATTCCATTGTGGTTTGTAATGTTACTGCTAACGTGAAACCTTTTAAAAAATATAGTATAGTTTTACAGAACATTAGCGATGTTCACTCTTCTTTAAATACACAGGGTCAATTTCGCTGGTACTTCTCATACCTAAACATCTATCTGTCAACAGGGAGACACCACTACTTCTGGAACACATCCCACCAAGAATCACCTACTTGCAAAACGCTCACCACTTGCCTCAGTGATGAAAGACACCACAGGCTGCCCTTGGAAGAGCTCTGGTGAAAGGGTGACCAGCTGCCTCAGGGGCTTGGTGCCAGGTGCAATCATATCCTGTAGAAACCCTGTTCGGGCCAGGCACAGATCATCAGCCCGGCCGGGACGGGGATCAGACGAGCGAGCCTTCAGTTCCTAGGAGAGACTGCTTAGTAAGGCGGCAAGCAACAGGACGATAGCAGCATGGAAGTACAAAGTCAACAGGATCAATGCAGTGGAACTGTGCAGCAGGCAAAGGCTGCAGCAGGAGTCTAGGCCACAAGAAGTCACTGGCTGTCGTTTGGTTGCACTGTTTCCAGAGGGAGTTGCTAAGATTTGCTGGTACACCTGAAAAAGGGCCTGCCGATATCCTCACTATGGCACCAAATCCTGATAGACAGGGAGAAACAAGCCAGCAGTCTGCAGTGCAGAGAAAAGACAGACACCCCGTAGCCACGCTCCTGATTCACAAGAGGGGACCCTCCTCACTTAGCTGAACAGGGGTACTTGGCAGTACCTGTTCTTTTAGTTCTGCACAGTTCCAGCTTCTCTCTGCATTTCCCATGAACCTTGTCTCCTTGTAAAAGAAGGG